GAGATCGAAATAAAGACCGTTATGTGTGCGAAACATTTTATAAAGCTAAAAAAAGTACAGTCATTATATTGTGATAGATTTGTTGTTTCCTTTGGACTATTTTTCATTCAAGTGATTAGAAAAATCTTTTTGCTCCTTTGTTGTTTATTTTTTTATTTTTATTATTTCTTCAAATTCAAATTTAGAATCAAACATCATGGCGAAACGACGAACATTCGGATGCATATCAACGTGCTTCTCATGCCAGAAATACAACGGTAAGAAACGACATCATTTTCATTTGAAGAGATCGAAATAAAGACCGTTATGTGTGCGAAACATTTTATAATGCTAAAAAAAAGTACAGTCATTATATTGTGATAGATTTGTTGTTTCCTTTGGACTATTTTTTATTCAAGTGATTAGAAAAATCTTTTTGCTTCTTTGTTGTTTATTTTTTTTGTTTAGCAAGATGAAAGTCCAAGATATGGGTCATTTTTGAACCGATACAGAAGTCAACATATATTTGGTTCAACGAGTTTTGGCATTGCGCAATTGATTGACACTCCGGAAAATCGGTACTCTTCAACTCCTTTTTTGAATATGGAATCGGAGGTATCAATGCAACCACGTTTTCGATCTGTCACATTCAGTGAAAGTGAATTTAGTGAAAATAGTTTAGTCGCCACACGAACAATAACGAATTTACCACCGAGAGACCGTTTTGTTTCTACTCCGACTCTTAATTCGGCACAGTCTTTTGATCGTTCACAATCGCAGAAACGCTCAAGTCGTATGATTCAGTCGCCACCACTTTTCGATGAAACTGAATTTATTCCGAGCAACGACGCTCAAGTGCCAGCCGCCACACGAACAACCTCAACCATTCCAAACGCCACTCAAGTGCCAGCCGCCACACAAACAACCTCAACCACTACAAACGCCGCTCAAGTGCCAGCCGCCACACAAACAACCTCAACCATTACAAACGCCGCTCAAGTGCCAGCCGCCACACGAACAAGCTCAACCATTACAAACGCCGCTCAAGTGCCAGCCGCCACACGAACAACCTCAACCATTACAAACGCCGCTCAAGTGCCAACCGCCATACGAACAACAAAATCCGTAGCTGAAATGTCAGCCGCCGAGTATGAAATATGGACCACTGAAATCCAGGTAATTATTATTATCATTATTATTCATTACCAAAAATTTCTTTCAATTCCATACTCTTCATTTATAATCACATTCAATTCTGTGTTCACTTTCTATTACAATTTTATTTCCATTATACTTATTAATTCATTTTCTTTTCCTGTTTGATTCTTAGGATGCAGCTCGAATGCTGGTTTCTGAACCTCAAATGTTGGCCGGTCAAGCCGAAACGTTGGTCAAAACCCGTCGAGTGATGTATTTTACATCGGATGAAGATGAAGAGATAGAGAAACAGGTTAGCGATGACTATTTACGATGCGAAGAAAAGAAGAAGTTCAGTCGAGTGGGAAAAGTTGGATATCGTTATCGTACTGCGCATTATATTAATAGTCCGACTGATCCAATAAGAGATTCCGATGAATCGTGGAATGTTTTTTTAAATTGGAAGAAAAACATTTCAATCGAATCGGAACCCATTGAAATGATAAAAAAAGGCGAATCGAATTTATGGTTGAAAGTTCCTGGCACTGATGGCAAAGTATTTGTTTCAACAATTCGCGACTTTAACCACTTGATAAATAATAAATTCATCGGTATCGCAACAATATCCGAATATGCTGCGATTGCAATCAAAAATACATTTCACGCCTCGAAAAAGGCACGTGAAATTGTTCGTTATGTCCCTCATTTGGAAATCGGAACGGGTACGATTGTAAAAGCATACGTGCTATTGAGATATATGCTAACTTCCACCAAGCATGATACCCCGGACAGAATGAAGTGCGATTTCCGCTTGATTATTTCAAATGGGCTTGGCCAAGAATGGCATTATGATCTTTGTAAGATGTCACTGTCACAAAAAGAAGATGAACTCGTTTGCCAGTGTATTCGCAATTCAAAAACCGAACGATGTTACGCCTCATTGATTGTAGCGCGCATAACCCGACCATATTTAATGGACAACGCGTTTAAATTTATCGATATAGAAATCGGTAACGGGTTCCATTTCCATCCGGGGTGTCTTTTCAATTCCGATGAAAGATACTCCAAAGATGACATCAATCGTAGTATCGACGAAGAGCTATATTATAGCAACAGGGCCGAGTATAAGGCAAAATTAAAGGAGCGGCGATATCGTAGAATTATTTCTAGGTAGTTTTGTTTTGACTCAGCAAACAATTAATTTTTGTACATATTGAATAATGAAACATAATGAAGAAAGACCTTTCAATCGATTTAATAGAGTAATAAAAAAATGTGCAAAAAATTCATTTCATTTCAAATCAAATTTTTTACGCTTAAAATTTATAATTTATTAAGCCAACAATATTACGATAAAAATGTTTCGATTTGTAAATTTCGAAGCTTTTTAAAATCATTGGGATATCATGTATAAATAAATAATCGCAATTCAAAGCAATAGAGTGAAATGCACTCAATGGAAAAATATTAAAATAATAATTATTTTTTATATTGATGGAATTTGAATCGGTGATGAATATAATTTTATTCAATATGTAAAATCGACCAAAAACAAATGAAAACAAACAAACAATTTGTTGTATCAAAAAAGTTTCATTTTAAGGTTTATATGTGACACAGACAAATAAAAAAAATACTCACAACTATAAATAAACAACTATCATACATGACTTTTTTTATAGATTTCAATTTTGGAGTAGATTTCTTCATAATACTGACTCATTCACCGACGATAATTGGCGGATTTTTATATTTGATCAA